TCCACTTAACAACCATAACTAGTAGAGCAGCTTTATATCCCCTCAGGAACATATTCGTTGGGGAAAGTCTATTGACGACCAGAGTCAGCCAAATCTTCAGTTTGACGGTCTGAGATAGTTGTGTTTTCACCTCCCAAAGGGGGTCATAGTCAGTGACTGAATCCCACGTGTATTCCTTTCCCACCAGACCTCCCATTCAAAGCACAATGTTTCTCCTTCCGTCAATGACTAAGTATAGTGCAGAGATATGTTCATAAGGTACTAACCGGCCTTCCCTTCAAAGTGGCTTATCCACCATTTCCACGTGTCACATCTGTAACGTTGTAGCCGTATCACTCCTGTGAACTTCTAGGTGGCCACATGTAACCCCGATAGATTCACAGTGTTGACACGTTTCGCCCCTTTTCTTTTCTGCTCTGTTTGTTTGTTTTTCCTTTCCTTGTTTATTTTCCCCTCAGCTTCTCTCTAAGAGGGGAAACTTCTTTATTGTTATATTTCATAACATTGATGCCTTTGTGACTATACTTTTATGTTTGTTTGTTTTTGTTACGCTATGGTCCCACTATCACTGCTAGCGGTGAAATGTTCATGGTTATTATTTCATAGATTGGTTGGACTCTGTTCGCTGTAACTTATCTTTATTTTGGCAATAAACTTTTATAAAAAGGATCTTCCAGGACTTGTTCCACCACCAAGCCTTGGTGGATTTTGAGGGATACTTGTGATGATTGTCCTGTTGGAAGGTCCAGTGAGGCCCAAGGTTCAGCTTCCTCACAGATGGCATGACATTTTCTCAGAGGCTTTGCTGATACTTCCATGAATCCATCTTGCCTTCCACATGCTGCAAGTTTCCAATGCCAGAGCATCCCCGAGCCACCACCATGCTTAGCTGTAGGCAGAGTATTCTTTGTTACCATATAATTCATTCTTCTTCCAGACATACCGCTGATCCCTTCTGCATTTTATAGGCGTCTTGTTGCCACCAAGTCTTGTTGCAGGTCATATATAATAGGGATGCACAGATACTTTTCGAGTACCAGTGCAGATACTCAGCATTTTCATGAGAACTACCAGGGTTGCAGCGGTTGCAGCTGGGACCGGGCTCTGGCGCTCCACCACTGCCCTGAAATCATTAGTCTGTTTTGTTTTAGAAAAACTGTCACATGACAATAAACAAAAATTTATCAGTACTTGTACTCGCAAAACTGGTATCTGTGCATCCCGAATATTTATATTTATAAAAACAAAATCGTACATTAAAACAGAGATGAACAAATCCCGGGAGCTCCGCGTGCTCCTTACAAACGACAGCTGCCTCCTAACTTTTGAATTTTTCTCTAGTCTAGTCTTGGCGGTCTAAAGAATCGGTACATGTACTCGTACTTGTACCGAGTACTGTACTTGGTATCTGTGCAACCCTAATATATAGTCACTCGAGGGGGTTTCTCCTCAACCTGCGTTCTCAGAAATCGGGTTGCAGTCACTGATGGCTTCCTTTTTCTGCCCCGTCCAGATACGTAACCACTGTTCCTTCAACTTTGAACATGTGAGCTTAGGGTTGGGGCTTCTGTGGCTGATTCTAGGAACATCTTTTTGTATCCTGTTCCTTGTTTGTGAAGGGCAAAGACTTCTTTGGCCATTATTTTGACTTGACCAAATGTATAATATGCAGTTAAGCGGGACACTCGGCAAACCCCGAGCCAGTTCTGGGATTTCATTTCTTCTAGCTCAAGCACACCGGATACAACTAATGAAGCCCCTGATTACTTGCAGACAGCTCAAGTTTGGCAGATTTATGCTCTTCTGAGGATTCCGTTTCAGGGGTGGAACAATTCTGAGCATCTAGCATAAGTTAAGCATGTAATATGTCTACATCCTCCACATGGGACTGGCTCCAGATAGAATTGATTTGTATATTTATTTCATGTCAGCAATTTTACAAGTTGATACCTGGGAGTCCTCCGGATGAAGCAAATATTTTGAGAAACTAGTTGAGTCTTGTCACCTTCAGGACTGGCATTCCTGTAGTATATACACCGTACAGTCCGGGCCAAATGTTTTGAGAATGAAACAGATATTAATTGTCACAAAGTCTGCGGCTTCAGTGTTTTAGGATCTTCTTGTCAGATGTTACTCTGTCATACTGAAGTATAATTCCAGCATTTCATTAGTGTCAGACAATTACATAAAGTTTATGCAAAGACTCAATATTTGCTGTGTTGCCCCTTCTTATTCCAGACCTCTGCAATTCCCCCCGGCATGCCGGCATGCTGCCAGACCTCTGCAATTCCCCCCGGCATGCTGCCAGTCAACTTCTGGGCCACAACCTGACTGAATACTATAAATACTATATATCTACCTGTGGAACTTTCAATGGGTCTTTCCATTCACTCCACCATGGCTTTGGCAACTACATGGGCAAAAAAAAAGCTGATGCCAGACCAGAGCAAATTTGTACAGCTGGTCAGTGGCCGAGCCTTTTATCTGCTGTTACTGATTGGACCTTTTTATCAGCCCAACAACCGTCATTCTCAAGAATGTCCTTCAGGCAGCGGTCCCCAAATGTCTACGTTATTTCTTATTCTATCCGGTGCTTTCCTAAAAGACAATATTGGAAAATCCAAGTTAGACTTGATCATTGTGATTCCAGGAGTCTTTTATGAAAGCACCTACTGCCCCCCTATAATGTGCGGTTATTCTCTGGGGGTAGTCTTCTATGAGGGGGGGGGATTGAGAGGAGCCTCTTTTAATGATTGTGATGAAAGTGTTTCTTGTGTAAGTGTATTTTGGACTTCTTGTTGGAAACATGTATAGGCTTATAGGAAGAATAGAAGAGGACCTGTCACTGTGGAAGCCATTCTTCTGCCTCGTGGTTGTAGGTCCTGATTGTCGCAGCTTTTCTCACATTGCTTCATGAGCTTCCGATGATCCCACAGGAGACCCAATTCTTCTATTATTCTGAAGGGAGTTGTACTGAGGTGTCTGAGAATGTTTAATATGTCTTCCTTATTAGTAGATTCATTTATTTATAAGCTGAAACATGTTACTATTCATATATAGACGGAGTGATAGAACTCTTCTTGTTGTTGTTTTGTTCACAGGTTGCAGCCTAATGTTGACACCAGACAGAAGCAGCTATCAGCATGGAGTTCCCTGATTCTGTCTTACTGCCGCCACAATAAGCTTTATACAATGAATGTGATGGAAATACAAGAAAGTCCGATGTTTAACAACAAGAAAATCCAGCGTATCCTTTCTGCAACCGCAGCTGTCACATGGCCTGTGGAAACGCAGCCATTGGTACATTTCTGCTATGGCCCTCTGGTAGTATTGTCTTCCAAGGACATAGTTGTGGGGTGTCCTGTGTGCATTAATGTAGTCTTGCAGAGCATCCCTATGCCCATTGTTTTCATGTTGTTAATGAGAAGGGGGGAGGGGGGTAGAAGTTTTATGTGGAGTTTTCAAGGTTTCATTGTGTGATATCATAATTGTTTTCAGGTCCATTTGTAATACATTTAATACCCTGAAATCGTATTCCCACAGAAATTACCTGAAGTCTGTTTTATTTCTGTCTCTTATTGAAGGCAGGAAGAAGTAAGGGGGCGGAGTCACTGCTCAGATTCAGAGAAGAGGAAGTAAGGGGGCGGAGTCACTGCTCGGATTTAGAGAGGAGGAAGTAAGGGTGTGAGTCACTGCTCAGATTTAGAGAAGAGGAAGTAAGGGGGCAGAGTCACTGCTCGGATTTAGAGAGGAGGAAGTAAGGGGGCGGAGTCACTGCTATGATTCAGAGAGGCGGAAGTAAGGGGGCGGGGTCACTGCTCTGATTCAGAGAGGCAGCGGTAAGGGGGCGGAGTCACTGCTCTGATTCAGAGAGGAGGAAGTAAGGGGGCGGAGTCACTGCTCTGATTCAGAGATGAAGTAAGGGGGCGGAGTCACTGCTCTGATTCAAGAAGGATATTGCTTCTGTGATTCATTAGAGTTAGGTTTTGACTTAGTATATCAATGCTCTTATGTGGGCGCCCCTTCTGAACACTGCTCTCCTTATATAATTCATCGATTTTATATTGATATTCCTGAGAAGACCCCCACCCCCCCCCCCTGTGTATTGGTTTGAATCTTTCCATTATCATATGACCACTTTGTGCGATCGCCACATGCACTATTGCATTCTTGAAGTGATTATAGTCCTGCATGAGAATTTCAGTGGCTGGCCTTGTCTTTAATTGGTGCTGTGCACATAAGCGTTGTAGTACACGTGTGTTTGGGTCAGCAGACTTACCTCGGGCGCCGTTCACAGCTCACCAATGGTCCTCCTCCTTCATCAGGATTTGAAGTATATCAGAAGTTGGGATGGACTCTAAGAATTTCTACAGTATTCCATTTACAACATTACAGGATTAAAGGGGTGAATTAGAGAGTAGTGCCAGCAGTGGTGGTAGCGACAGTTGGCTATCACTTTCATAATTGCCGGCTCTACTAGCTGTCATCCTGGTTTTCATGATCAGTGGTGCAGCGAGGAGTGGGAGCTGGTGGGGAGTGCTGTCCTTTGCTTTGCAGCAACCCTAGCACCTCCTATCCACCCCACATTGCATGTGGCAACCTGCCCAAGACTCTGTGGAGTAGTTATGGAATGGGGGTGGTGAGTTTTTTGATGGGGGTCAGACCTTCTCTTTGTGTGACTTGCTCTTGCTGTGGTACACATGGCGCACACTAAAACAGCTGGTCACCAGGTGACTTGACAGGGCCTCTTTGATAAAGTGCCTGTGTAAAATGTGGACTTTGAGAGCATCCCGCTCCCTCTCTGTCCTCTTCTGAGGTCTCTGATGGGGAACCTTCCCTGGCTGCTGATCGTGACTGTGAACCCTGGTGAAGATGACATGCCAACTAGGAAAGAGTTTGTGTTATTCCTTATTAAAGGGGAACTTTCCCCATATCTTCAAAATAACAACCAAGGCACCTTTACAAGTGTCTGGTAATAACAATCTACACACAGATACCTCTAGATCATTGCAAGCCTTTTATTTATTTTTCTTTCTTTCCCCAGACTTCTGACAGCGGATATTTTAACGAATTAACTAACTAACACCCCTTTACTTCCTGGGACCCTGGCACATGTGACTAGGACATGTGACCATGCACATCAGCTAAGGGGAGGACAATGCCTTTCCCTGAGATCTTGTGAGATTACAGATGAGATTTCCCAGCAATGCTCTTCTGATGTCACCTTCCCAGGATGCAACGCTTGGGCACATGACATCATTTGTGCCCTAAACCTAACCCTAAGTAGACCAAGAAGTGGGAAAAAAGACATTGTAAGTAAGACCCCTGTCTCCTCGAAGGACTCTGCTGTTCCTGTTTGGTACTCGCAAACGTAAACTGTCTGCTAAGGCTTTTCCTTAAGATTCCTTCTTTGATAACTCTATCTACCAAGACTGGGCTCCCCTGTCTCTTTACTTTGCCTAGGCATCATGCTATTCTTTTCAGTAGAGCTGCAGCTAACGATTATTTTCAAAATCGATTAGTTAGCCGATTATTAAGTTTGATAAAATCGGATCAACAACAAAAAATATTAATAAAGAAAAAGGCTCCTGTGATGGACTACTAGATTGTATTGAGATTGTAGTCCATCACAGGAGCAAGCTTGGAGCAGTGGAAGTAAAAAATAAAAAAAGTGTGGTGTGCAATATAGTGAAATGGAAAATTATACAGCAATCAGAATGGCACCGGGTACAGAGAACTACAAAACCCAGCAATACTACATTATACAGCGCAATTCAGAATACCACCAGCTAAGAGGAATACAACTGCGGCTGCCATCCCCACACGCCTGCTCCTCCTTACTTCTTCTTTTCCCCGCGTCCCTGTGCAGATCGTGGATGCGGGCGGGTCTTGCAGCGGCGAGCGGGTCTGGCAGCAGGGAGGAGGTGCGACGCGCAGCGTGTGTGGTACCGCGCACAGTGGCAACTAATCAAAAGCCGAATAATCGATGCTTAGAAATGTTGACAACATTTTCCACCATTGATTATAATGGACTTGGTCGATTAGTTGTTGCAGCTCTAGTTTTGAGGAATCTTTCATAAAGAAATGGTCCTCTTCTCTGGTGCTGGAAAAAGATGGCCATAATCATTCCTGGTAAAGAAGCTCCATATTTCAGGGATCTGTTGGATATGAAGGCTGAGAGTGTTAATCATGAGATGTCCATCTTTCACAACTTCCTTCGGTTTGCGGTGGGCGACCTTCAATATCATTTTTGCCACTTCCTCTTTAGGCTTGTATGCACCTGTAAAAGTAGAAAAAAATGGTACATGCATGAATCTATAACCGGCCTTTATAGCAGGGCGCACATTGGGAAGGCTTACAACAATACAAAACACAAAAATTCCCCAGCCTCAACCTGCCAGCCAGCCTGCAACCAAACAAGTAGCTGGTAAAGGTCGGTTATAGATTCATGCATGGTAAAGGCCGGTTATAGATTCATGCATGGTAAAGGCCGGTTATAGATTCATGCATGGTAAAGGCCGGTTATAGATTCATGCATGGTAAAGGCCGGTTATAGATTCATGCATGGTAAAGGCCGGTTATAGATTCATGCATGTACCATTTTTTTCTAGTTTGACTATTTTGGGTTAGGGGGATGCACTGGAGTCCCAGCGTGCATTTTTAGTTGCTGGGCCTCCAGTGCGCCCCGGCACCTTATTAGGAGGAGTTGGCTACCTCCAGGTACACCTGCATGTAATTTATCAACTTCATTAATATGCTCACACTCAGGGACTCGTATACATAGAGTTAGGACCACACTTTGCAGAGGTGCCTTGGCGCGGCGGTGCGGCTTCTACATATTTTTGGCCAAAAGTTTGTGCAACTAAAACCTCTGATTTGAACGCATACTGTTGACAGGGCTACTTGTTTGGTTGCAGGCTGGCTGGCAGGTTGAGGCTGGGGAATTTTTGTATGCACCTGTATTGGCCACCAGCAGGGGCTGCCTCTGGGTTGTCTCTTGTTTCCTCCCTAGAAGACCTCAATAATAGGCAGAACTGGACAAGTTCAATGATGTAACATCAAATGTCGCTCCGCTGTAATGAATGATTGATGAGAACCTTACAAGCGATGTTGGGCTTCTAACTGCAGTCACAAGACTCAATATATACATGGAAGTTCATATTCAACAATGCGTTTGTATTTTCCTCCCATGACGCTGTTTGTCCTGGGGTGTTGGAATCATACACCACCCTGCTGCACAACCCCGCATAGGTGCATGCTAGTGCTTTAAGCGTATATATCACCCATGAATCCGGATGTGGTCACACCAAACTGTAAACGCACCCGTATCTCTGTTCTGTCTTCCACATCCATGCACATAATGGCACACTTACCTTACAGGTCTGAGCTTCTCCAGTGCAATGTATTCTCTGCCCCCTCGGCTCTCCAACGCTGCGTTCCCAGACATCCTCTTCAGCCATTGAACAGCCAATAATGATGTAACTCTTGTGCATGCACCAAGGCACCAGGCCCAATACTTACAGATCCTGGCAATGGCCTGAGCGTGTATACTGCACAGCACATGTGGCTTCTGGTGTACACAGAAAATGTCAGAAATTGCCCGTCTGCTGAAAAACTTCTTCTACATTTTGTCCAATTAGCGATTTATTAATCTTTAATGTTTTTCTTTATTTATAATGTATTTGGAATGTTTATCCTTGACCTCCTGTGCAGGAAAGTTACCACTCGAGTCTGTTCAGGTGGTTTTAGAAGAACTACGGAAAAAAGGTGAGCGCATAAATGGCATGCATGTGTCAGCACAGCGCTAGAAGACACATCATGAATAAGGTTTATTAGATGCCACAGCTGCAGGAATAGTTTGCTGTGATTTGACATTGTATACTTGTGGGCATTGTTGTACCGTCTGTGGTGTAATGTCTGGACAGTTCTATGGTATGTATGTTGAATATTAGGTGCACTTTCCTTTAATATGCCCGCGGAAACACGCTAAGCACATTACATGGTAGATACGGTTATAAGAAGGTTACATGAAGATCTCTGGAGATGGACGTGTCACCTTGAGATTGTCCGCGCTTTTCCACAAAAACTTGGAATGCAATTTGGAGAAGGCGCCAATAATTTTACCCATTTTTGGAGTTTTGCGTGGAATACAAAGAAAAGAAATAAACATTAAAATGCCGAACCATTTGTCATTGCAACTATTTTCTGTTAGGGGTACGGGTACTCCTAGAATGAGATCCTAATAGGTTGGACTTGATGGACTAATGTCTTTATTCAACCTCAAATACTATGAAGTGCTGCATTATCTGACAGAAATGCCGGGGGGGGGGGGGGGAATGCGGTGGCAATATTTTTGACCATGTCTGTATCTCTTACATATAATGAAGATTCTGCTGTGTCCTTCAATGAACTCGGAGGAAAGGATTTTACAATGAGTTAAATTCTGCTGCAGGATGTGCGTTGTGGTGCCATTCATTTCAATGATAATGAGTAGATATCTTACCAGATTAAAGTAACCCGATAGACAGGTGAGTTCTTGTAGTGACCACGGACGGCACCGTGAAAAAACTGATATGGTTAAGAATGTCACCAGCACACCACATTGTAGTGAAAATGAGCAAAAGTCCATTTATTGAAGGAACATTACCATTCAAAAACGATCCCTTCCAGGACCACGCAGAAGAATCATTCTGAGCCTGAGGAAGGGAACCCTGTGTGGTCCCGAATCTGCTAGTTTTTGAACGGTAATGTTCCTTCAATAAATGGACTTTTGCTCATTTTCACTAAAATGCTGGTGACATTCTTAACAAATTAATTTCAATGGGACCCTAAACGCGCCTCCTGCCCACACTGGAACACGCAGTACTGCAATGCCGTGCGTTCCAGTGCGGTGCGATTGCAAAAAATGTTAAAAATAATGGTTTGTTGCAGCCCTAGTACCACAGTGTCCCCTCGGTATCACAATGCAGTACCCCTGCAGTATCACTGTGCCCCTGCGGTGCCACATGGCTTCGTAATGATGGGGTTCTGGGTACGGCCTTTAATGTCTAGCATCAGCCAATCAGGGGAAACTGTCAAAGTGAGCAGGTTTTTTTCTGCAGTAAGATATTTCCATCTGTTGATAGTTGTGTCTGAAAATCTGTTTAATTTCAGGTAATCTGGAATGGTTGGACAAAAATAAAACCAGATTCTTGATCATGTGGAGAAGACCAGATGAGTGGGGCAAGGTCATTTACCATTGGGTTAGTGTTGTTGTCTGGATTCTTCTCCTACACCTTCGCTGTCTCTGTCCCCTATATAGTAGTCTCCTGTGTATTCTTTGTTCTATGTCTCGTGGGTAGGTTTTGAATGAGAAAATCAGTTGGATTACTTAACCCTCGTTGGCTTTAAGAAACCACAGACAGCCTAGACGTTACAAAGAAAGCCCAACTCCTCGCCACTTGTGCCGGCTATCCTGCCACTGTGTTTGCTGCGGGTTCCTTCTCAGCAGCAAAAGGTAGCAAACAATGTTCAGTCTGCTGCTCCTCTCCTCAAGAAATGTTCTTTTCATCCTTCTCTGGCATCGGGTTCAAAACCCCAGCATGGTGCCCAATTCCACCCCAAGGCCCACCAAGGAGCAAAGTAACCCCTCTTCTCTATGAGGTGCACGTCTCTCAGCACACCCCTGACACCTGAGTCCAGAGTATTGGTTCACAGCACTACAAGCTGGAGCTTTGCTCCCTGTCACTCAAATCTGAAAGATCTCTTTGCAGCTCTGGGTCAGCTCTTCTCAAGAGGTCCTAGTTCTTGTTCCAGATGCATAAATGTCCCAGCGTGTTTACTGTCCCCAATGCCAATTTTAAACCTGGAGATCCTACAGGTTCCTGCGGGTTCAGGCGT